GGATTTTGTGATTTTCGAGGCTGAGAAATTAGGTCCCAAAATTGTAGTATACATGCAAAATCTATAAGTGTATTGTGAAGTTAATAGTTAACTTGTTAATTTGTAACTTAACAATAAAACAACAAATAAAATGTGTTATACAAAAGATTTATATTATAATCAAATAATAAAGTCGACAATGTTTCAAATGATTAAATAAATACTATTCATCTTGCAATTTTAGAGTCAAAAATATTGATCAAATTTGAATAATCTACCTGCTCAACCATTTCTTTTTCAATTGATAATATAGTCAATCCATTCAATCTTTTTTATATAGCCGATCGGAGAGAAAGTATGGTTAACAAAATTTAGTAAGTAATATAAACATTTGGGGTGTCTTCAAATATTATAGCATTTCAATTGCTCTCGTTGCTTCACTTGATATATAGTACCTCAAGACATGTAACTCGAAACATAAATCATTTCCATTAATATCAGAACGTCCATTACGTTTCAGATACTTTTCAAGATTATACAACGTTACAACAAATTGAAAAAAGTTGCACACCTTAAACTCTCCAAATTTAACAAAAATCGAAATATCTCTTCATATTGTTTAAATTGTTCAAATCGAATCTTAGAGAAAATAGAGTTTGATTAGTTATGAAAATGAAGTATTCAACTCTAAAAGATTCCTCAACTAATTGATTTACAGTACTATTACCTACGTCAAATTACTTCTTTCTTCAAATGTTACGTTGTTCTCAGAATACGATTCGATTCCTAATTTGCTTGCCCTTTTTATTAGTTTATCCATGATCAATAGCAAATTCAATTTCTTTATAATTTTTGAGAAATGAAATAATTCCTTGTAAGAGATCGATAACATCATCAATATCCTTGTTCTCGATTTGAAGAAATTTACTCATAATATTGACTGCATGTAGCAACCTGTACCAAATTACCATGTCAAGCAAGAACTCAAAATTCTGAAATTTATATGTTGCTAAGGACTCGACTTTGCTCTTAATTTCAGGATCTTCATTAATTTCTACCAAGTCAACTATAATGTCTCTTATTTTAAACAAATAAATCGAATACTACCTATGTGATGAATAAGTTGAATAGAAGTAAAAAATCACTGCAACATGAGTTTGAGAAATCCTAAATCACTTGTGCATTTCTCTTGTATTTGAAATAGACCTAATTTTGAAATGAAATTCCCACATTGAAAAAACATTATTGGGCCTTATTTATAAATGGAATGGAATGGGCCTAATTTATCAAAATTTAATAAAAAAATCGTGATGGACCTAATTCCGTGAAAAAAAAAAGGAGGAGAAGAAGAATGAAAGAGGCTAAAATTTGAGACCTTCTCTAATGTTGGGCCTGAGACTTGGGCCTCACTCGCCTCTTTTCGAAATCGGCCCTGGTAGAACGTACAAATTTTATTTATAGAACATCTCGTCGAGCTTAACAATATTTCTTTACAGTATATCGACGATGTAGTTGATTTGATACAATCACAAATATAATAAATTTATTTATTTATTAATCGAAACATATATAAGTGCAAGAAATATATTTTGACGTACGACGATAACCCCTAACAATAATATACCATAATTGACATATTTCTTCTCATCCATCCCATAATTAGGAAGATAATTCTTTTATGGCCATGGAATCAAAACCAAAATATAGAAGTACTAATCCAGCATTACTAGCCTCATTTACGGTGAAGAATGATAATGTCAAGAGGTCAATTCACGTTCAGAAGTTCCTCAATCATTTGCAAAGCAATCCTTTCCTCTTCGTTCAATCCATTCTTGCATTCTCTCTCCGGTGTTACCTCCGGCAATATTTTATCGAGCTCATTGTTCTTGTTGCCAAGCTTAACTGTCATCACCCAGTTTGAATCCGATTCTGCTCCGGCCGACTTTTGCCACACCCCAATATGGGACTTCTCGGTGTCGAGCCTTAGGCAAGTGAGAGAAGGCGATGGCCATTTACCACACTTGCGAAGTTTCTTAGTCAAAATTGACGAAAGAGATGAAGAAGATGGTGATGACATAGACTTGACATTTCCATCTTCATTCGTCTCACATGGGAAGTTGGTTTTAGCATTTCTTCCACTCATTAACACCGCAGCCTCGTCGTAAGCCCTTGCTGCCTCCTCAGCTGTATCATACGTCCCCAGCCACACCCTCTTCTTCCTGTAAAATGAAAACAAATGATTTGTTGGGGGATATCCACATACCTATAGGGCTTTACATGCAAACATGCTATATCTATCTAAAATACAGATTTACAGTGTGCAAATAAATGGCACTGGATTGAGAAGTTTACAGTAAAGGGTGGCGAATCTCGGACACCCACGAACCCCAATTGCGTTGCCTGACGCCTCTGAATTTCTTGGATTTCGCCATGTTTTTCTCCATCAGAATGGAAGATGGAGACTCAGATTTAAATGTGTTGAGGAACGTGCAAATTTAAGGGGTTGAGGCAGGTTCAATAAATTCTAGTTCTGGATATACAATTTTTTCAGTACCATTTTAGCATTTAAACAGAAATTAAGGTGCATAATGGCGGTTACCCCTTTTTCGGAAACGATGGTCCTTTAAATCCCCACAGCAATTACGAGTTTTGGGCCTCTTCCTCGTGCTCCTCTGTCCTGTCTGGCCGTTGTACTATCCCTTTGTTGGTAAATATGTTGAGATTTATAATATTTTAATATGTGTCCAAAACTATTAGAACTTAATATATAAGATAATTTAATGTCGTTAAATAAATTTTGTTTATTTAGTAGTGAATCTTTTCAACATTTATTCATTTATATTATTTAAGTATGCCGTTAAGTGCCTTCAATTATTTTGCGATGACCTGAATAGGGTTCGTCCATAGAGAAACACGAGCAAATACGACTCATGTTTATATCAAAAATTTATTTGTCCTAGACTAATAAATGGAAGTCGGCACTTTGTTCTAACAAGGCCATATGGACAGTTAACCTACTAGTTGAGGTGCGCGGATTATCTTGACTGTGATCTCGAGAGTAATGACATCAAATATACTAATGTGTCGTTTAAATTTGGTAGTGCAATCATGTGAAATTAAACTTCACATGACTACCTAATGGATTACTTAAATCCATCATAAGACACTGGTTGTTATTTGTGAACTTGATAGCTTTGATGTACCAAGGAATGAGATCAATACATATAGTCAAATACCTTATTATGTTGAGAGTTTAGAGCAAGCAAAATCGTAAGCACGTATTTTCATTTGAAAATTTGTCACTATGACTAATAGGTAAATGAATTCATTTAAGTATTTGCGTTAAGTTGTTTAAACAACCTTAAGCAACGGCTAAATCAATTTAGTGAATTGATAAAAAAGAAACAATTGAAGGAAATTTTTAACTTAAGGGAGAAACTATTAGAAGGTGAAGTGTTCATTTTAGCCCAAATCTAATATTTCAATGTTCGACGAAGCTTAGGGTGACAAGTATAAATGCAAGAAATTGAATTTTTATTACTTTTATGATTTTTATAATTTGAAAAGTGCACTAGGTGGACTTGATTGTGGTTTAATTATTGTAGCTCAAATTATATAGGTCCAACAAGATACCTTAGGTAACTCCAAAAAAGTCATGGATTTAATTACACTAAAAATAAAAGCTCAGGGACAACACTTGCAAAAAGGTCAAAATAGCTTTCCTCGAGAAAAATAAGACAAGGAGGAAAACCCTAGTAATGATTGACCAGGGCATCCCAACTGCCTCCCTTGTCGACACCTACAATATAGAAAGAGAGAGAAATTTTCTCGTTTCTCTTGTTTGATTACAATAGGGGTAAAGGTGAATGCGGTTTGGTTTGAGCAGTTCGTACTATAATTTCAATTCAAATTATTTTATGTGGTTTGAAATTTTCTCTAATCAACCAAAATATTTTATTTTTCGAATCAAGTCAAACCAAACCATAATTTGCTGTTTGGTTCGATTTTAATCCGCGGTTTACCTTTCGATATTATTATAATGTATTTAACATAGTTAAATATAAGTTTAAACGAGAACTAATAATGTTAAATATTAAATTATATTCATATTTACCATGAAACCCATGAATAAATTATTTTCAAATTTAGTTGCTAAAAGATGTTAATAGAATAAATACATCTCTTCTTCATTTTTATTTACCTTTTCTTGTTTGACATTCATATTGTCATATAACGGTTGGTAAATATAGAGTTACATTCTACCATTATAGTTTGGTTAAAACTCCTTTTGGTTTTGCTAGTAAGATGTAAAGTAGAAGGTAGTAGTACTAGTTAAGAAATTTAAATATTTTTACACAATCAATACGCTCCGTCCTTCGTTCTTTTCAAATCACAAACAAGTTCGTTAATTATCTAGGCACACAAATAATCATTTTTCTATTCCAACCACAACTCACAAATGTATAATAAGTTTAGAAAGAACAATGGAAAAATTGCTTGAGTAAGAATCTAAGACTTATCGAAAGAAAAAAGAGAAAGAGACGATTTAGATAGAGATTACTAGACTAACAGTTAAAGGCGACTAGCTATTCGTTTAGCAGTGATAGACAAGAGTCAAATGTTAGGGAAATGAGAACTTATATTAAGGTTTCTGAAACTTTGGGCGCGATTTACTGACCTAGTTTTGTTGAATTATGATTTGAATTGTTGAAAATATGTGTTTTTTTTTTCATTTCATATGATTTTGGAATAATTTTAGTTTAGTATAAATATCGGCTGAGGAAATGTGTTGTGAACTTATTGAATTATAGTGATGAATCTAATTTAATTTTTATGATTATTTTAATAGGCTGATTGTAATTTGTATTGTTAAATTGTTATTTTTTTTTGAAAAGTGAAAACTATAAAAAAGATTTAAGTTAACAAAATTAATTTTTTAACTAAAAATTTAAAAACGGTTCGGTTTGGTTTTGTGCGATTTTTAAAAATCAAAATCTAAACCAAACCATTTTAAAACGATTCGGTTTGGGTCGGTTTGAAGGAAAAGAAACCACAGGTCTATGTGGACCCAAACAAACCATTTCAGCTCAACGGTTTCGGTTCAGGTTCAGTTTGTGATTTTGTGATTTTTTTGTGCAGACTTATTTAGAGCTGCCTATTTATACATTGTTCATGACCTAACTTTTCGCTCGTGGCCGCTATACCTTCAAATGTTACAAGAGCTGTTATTTATAAAGTTGATACCAATGTGGTCACCGTTGGGGCAGAGTCTCGTGGCCACATACCATTAACCGGAGCCCCTCATCGCTCTGTCATACGCTAATTACATTGATAAGGGGTGATGGACTCACACAAAGTAGGGAATTATAAATCTGAGTCCTTCATTTCATAATGATAATGTGAGCTGTAACTGTCAGTTATATTTATGGTGATATCATTTTTTACATCTCCTCGGATACTTCGAAGCACCAAAAAATTGCAGTATTAAGTTGCAGACTGCAGTAATTATCTTCTTTCAACTGTCGCAGCTAATCTGATAAGTACAAATGACTGCTGCAAATATTTTCTCTCCATTCTTTTGGGATGCTTTGCTCATTATTTTTCTGTTGAAAAGGAGGTTGTTGAAAAAAGGAAAAACAAAAACCTTATTCAAAAGCCTTATATTCTGGTTTATAATCCTTCTAACTACTCTCATTAGGGATTAGTGTAATTACCCATAATGCGTGATTGAATATAATTTTCATTTTCTAGCTGAAATGTTATTTCAATTTTTGTTCTGAATCTTCTTTCTTCAAATCTCTAATTCTTTAGTATTCTTCAAAATACAGATTGTACAAGTAGCTGGGCAATGAGAGATCAAAACTAGAACCGCATTTAGGACACTGTAATCATGGGCGGAACCACACGGGGTCTTGACCCCACGAAATTTTTGGTTTCAATTCCTGGTTTATTCTTTTCCATGTAGCTAAATCTACACCATTGATTTTGATCACAAATATTACGTCACTGACTAGATTTCTTCCACATAAGAGGAATTGTCAAAGAAATTATCACCCAAAATATGCATCTAAGGTTATTCTATCTTGCAACGCTCGACTCCCTCCGGTCACATGTACAATAGAATTTTTTTATTTTTTATTTTTTATTTTTTATTTTTTTTGGTTAGTATACATCATACAATAAAATTTTCATCTGTGCAAAATGTGTCAAATATCATTATTTAAGCTAGTGTAAATCATTTTCGATATTTGATACCTTAGAGACGAAATCGTAAAACGAGGATCAATCTCTGTTGGTAATAACTTAATTTAAAAGCCTTTTCAATATATAAAAATTATATATTTAATCTTAATAACGAAGTATTAAATTTTTATTGAAGGCTCAACTACAGGGACAGCAGATCTTGTTACAATATAAAGTTTGAAATATGCTCCAAAAATCACACGTGGGTCTTACGTAACCCAACGTTGTTTGAAGGGCCCGTTTGGCATAGTTTCTGCTTTTACTTTTACTTCTTGTAAAAGAGTTTCTGAAGAAAATTATTTTAATTTTTGTTTGAAAACTAATATTTAAAAGCATCTTCTTTTCCTAAACTACTTTTACAGGAAGTCACATTGATCCAACTTTCTTTAAAAGTTCTTATAAACACGAAAAGTACTTTAACAAAATTAGTCAAACGAGTTCAAAAGCTCCTTTTCATTTTTCAAAAGTATCTAAATTTGGTTATCCAATGAACTTTTTGTCTCAATATTTCACAATAAATCTTTGGTTGGTGGCATTATAGAGGTAAAGTGATCAAAAGAAATGATTATGACATTTTGTGTATATTGAAAAGTCAATACCGGTTTACAGGCAGATTGGTCGATTTGCATGTGATAGGGAACAGAGCCACGTAGAAGGAGCTAAATTCAAACAAATCAATCTAGCAGCAAAAAATCATATTCCTAATTAAAACAATTTATTTTCCCACTATCCATTCGATCTGGTTTGATCAATTAATAGTTCACCAATAATCATCCATAAGAGAAAACTAACTAGACATATGAATCTAGAAAAGTGATCTACCTATTAGAGAAAATAGCACTTCCAATAAAAAAATTTCTAAATATTATTTGAGGTCGGTGGTAATACTAGTAGTAGTTGTTACCTACATTCAGCCCTTGTTTGAGCTCTATTTTGGAGGAAAAATGAATTTTACAATAGTGTATTGATGGGAAATGTATGGTTAAAAAATAAAGAAAAATTTTGAATTTACGTGTAATACTATTTTATTAAAAAATGTGTGATTGAAATGATGTCAAAGTACTATACAATAATACATTTTTTTTCTAAATAATGGGGCTCAAACAAGCCCTCAATCTTCGGTTTATAATTATAGATGTAAAGGTGTTGGCAATCCCCGTGAAATACACTCAATGTGTTGTGATCACATTCGTGATGTTAAGGTTTGATCACAACTAGGGCTATTTTATGATTGGTTGGATTTTGTCTCATATATTCGGTCCATATGTATAAGAAATGAATTGGATATATGTCCATTTCA